TTTTTATATATTTTTCATATATACATATATATATATAATATATATAAATATATGAAAAAATTATGTGGGTACTCAAATGAAAGGTCTCGATGAGTGTAACGTCGGGGTGAGCTTATATCTTTAAAAATCTGATTAGTTGACAAGATAGTAATGTCAGTTCTTAATTATTGACATTTTTGAAGATATAAGCTCATCCTGATGTTACACTCATCAAGAGCTTTCATTTGAGTACCTACATGCATTTTGATATATTTTTCATATATACATATATGTAATATATATAAATATATGAAAAATTGATGTGGGTACTTAAATGAAAGGTCTTGATGAGTGTAACATCGGGATGAGCTTATATCTTTAAAAATGTCAATAGTTCTCAAGATACAAGGTCGTTTCTTAATTATGTATCTAGAGATAGAGCATTTTCGAATGCAGCCTAAATACTTATCATCATAAATTGACTATCGGTGAGAATGATATGAAACCTTGAAAAGGCACAACTCCAGGTCAGACCTTTCCAACGATACCAAATTTAACCATACAATCCCATTTTATCATATAAATACACTGGTCACAATATTTGTTTATTCTCTTAATAATATATTTTTTTTTTCTAATTTTTTTCATGAAAAAATTCCAACTTCATTTTACTTTTTCCAACTTGTATTATTTTTTAATATTCTACCTATTCAGTGAAACTAATATTACAAGACACACGAATTTCCTTAACATGATTCGCAATAACATAAAGTTTAATTAACCAAAGTTTGAATTAATAAAAGTTTCCCAAGACACGAGTTAAAACATTGAATTTTCAAAAGTTTTACCCAATCATCATACAAAGTTCATGTTAATAACACTCGTGTGAGGTTTCATTTCGCGTTTTATTCTCTAAAAATTCATCTGAACTAGCATGAAAAATTCTTATATTATCATTGACAAAACATCAAAATTTCTATACTATACCTGTATCCGTGTATATGAATGAATGATACTTGGACCGTGAAATAGCATTCGTGTACCAATATCTGAGTGGATTACCATATGCAGATCGAGTTATCGTATTCATAATGAACCTGTCGGTGTTAATTACGTCATGAATATAATGTATCTTGAAAACATTACCATTGATTCACAGCAGCGTGTTTTTAAAACATTTTTCAGTGAACAATGCATTTAAACTAAACGGACGTGTGAGTAAAAATATCATTTTGATACAATTAGAGCGCTCATTACCGCAAAAGTGACTTTTAAAAATTGAAACATCGATTCTAATTAGTTTTCACGTTAATTAAATGTTCCACAGCAAAACTTGTTTTCTACTAGTTTTTATTCAGTAGTACAGATAATAGCCGCGAGTCTTTAATTAAAATTTATTCTGTCATAAACGTGCATCATTGTTTTACATGCCCAGTTATTTTTAGTTACTATCTACGTAAGTTAATGCATCCGACATTATGATTATTTTTAATAAAAGCATACATTTACATCTCTTTTAATTTCTTTTTTAATTTTCATAAATATAATTTTCATAAAATTGAAATAGAATTATTATTTAACATATTTTTATTAAAAGAATATTATTATTATTTTTATAAGTTTTATATTTTCGAAAAATTTCAATTCAATATATAATTAAACAGTCACTTTAAAATATATACAGATTAATAGTTAATAGTAAAAAAAAATTACGAATCTCATATTTAAATACCTGCATAAAATTTTATTATATTGATAATTGTATAAAACTTCAATCATATCAATTTTTCACTGCAATAGAAATTAATTGTACTTTATGCACTTTTTTTGGTATCAGACGTCTTGATCCTCCGACAAAATATCCTCTATGACAAAAAAACCCCGACAAGTTATCCTTCGAATTCGATATAGTTTTCGCAAATTTGAATAAAAAATAAAATTATTAAAAAGCACAATGATAAAAGAGTACAACACGATTATCCGCGTTTATTGATACAAAAAATAAAATTGTTTAAATAAATTAACTATTTCATTTTTAATATTTTGGGGTTTATCGTTTTATTCAATAACTCCGTCTATATAGGATTAATTGTCAGGAATTTTTTCTCGTGAGGATATTTTGTCCAGGGATATTTCTTGGGGATATTTTGTCGGGGGGTAAAGAATCATGGAACCTTTTTATTAAAATAAACATTATTTTAATTATTAAAATAATTGCAATTAGATCAGAAATTGCGGAATATCTTTAAGGTAGTACTACCGGTTTTAGATTTGACGTTCAGAATTTAATAAAATTTGGCATATTGGTACTTTATAATATCATAATTAAGTAGTAAAATTTTTGGAAGCTGAGCAAGTCCTGAAAAAAAGATATTAATATCTACATATTTTTGCTTTTACCATTGATCCTTATGGAGAATCACAGACTTTATTTTATTTCATAAAACTGGACGTTAAGATTCTTATAATAAATCAACACAACGAGAGGAAATAACATCTAGAACATATTTAGTAACAATCAGTATGGTTTCCAAGAATATGAGAATATTTATTAATAAAAAATATTCAAAATTTATCTCTGTCTCTCTTTTTCCAACGTAATTTAGTATAGGGAAATCTACTACGTTAATCAAATAAGGTTAGGTTTTGGGATTTGACACTTGTGGTAACGGTAGTACTACCTTAATCAGATTTAATTGTTTTTTTTTTTCAAAATTAAAATAATGAAATTTTTAAAAAATAAAAAATCATTTCAACGAATATATATTTGTGTGAAAAATAAATAAAATTTCAAAGTATTTTATTTTAGTTTAAATTTTATAAATTTATTTATTTGTCCCACCGCGCTTAAGTCTAGATCCGTGTCGTTTCTTTACAACCGGAGATTATTCGTCTGTTTATATCCGCAGTTTATGTCCCAGCCAGAGCGTTACAACTAAACTCGTGTTCGGAAATCCACGCTCTACTTTTTAACTTCCGTAAATTGCAATCCTAATTTATTTTTTACTTCCGAGGCCTTTGAAACATTACCTGTTTCTCTTATTTCATTATTTTTTTTTATCCTATCGCGCGATCCAACTTCACAAGGGGACAGGAAAAACGGAGAAAAAGAATCCCTTGATTTCCAATAGAGAAAAAAAAGCCACCTCGTTAACTCCGTTCCGGTTTTATTACAGATCTGAAAATAAATTCGTCATCTTTTGCCGGAAATTATAACTTCCTTTCATAATTGTTCAAACGTTTGAGGTTTTAACACTTTATTTTCAATATCATCAGCAGGATTTTTGAGTCATCATTGTCGAAAAATCCCACAGTATTAATGTTAATTCATTAAAATAACATATTATATAAAATATTTATAATTACAATTATAAATTATAATAATATTGAAATTGATAATTATTATAAATGAATTATTTATAAGTGTATAGTTGTTTATATGTAAATTATAATAATTGAAGTTAATTGTTAAGATAATGTGGAGATGCGCAAATTCGTGCATGTGCGAGTGTGTTGATTGAATTGTGAGATATATAATAAATAAATATAATATATAAGACGTGTTTTAATTATAAATTATTATATTGATAATTAATATGTCACTTGTACAGGCAATTATATATTGCACCGATAAATAAATTTATTCGAAAAAGATAAAGGATTGAAATTATTTGACACTTTATGTTAATAATAATAATTGATTTATTGTTTAGCAGTATAGTTATTTTACAAGTTTTTTTACAATAGCTTACATTAATTAGTGTACATTAATATTTTGTTTAATAAAATTTTTCCTTTACAAATTCTTTTAATAATCTTTTCAAAATAAACATTGTATCCTATTTTGCACACCTCGTAGCGCGAAGCGCGTGAGGTTGCGCTTTATACTCGACTTGTCAAGGTCAAGCAATTTTGTGATCTTTAAATGCCTCTATCACAATCATATTACACTTATACAACAATATAAGCAAATGTACACCGAGAAAACACTTAAATTTTTCTTAAAAAATGAATGAGCGTTATGAGGCGTGCACTTTTGGATTTTCCAAACTTTTATTTATAAAAATTTTTATGTATTAAAACTAAACTTTACGTTAAAAAAAAATAAATTGTTAAGTTTACTTTACCGAAAAAATAACTAATTAATTTTTTTTTTTAAACTAATTTATTCTAAAATTTCGACCTTAAATTTTTAGAAACAAAATCTACGCAAAAAAAAAATTAAATAATAAATTTTTTTGCCTCATCAAGCTTGCAAAAGAAGAAGAAAAATCTCTACAGCAGCAACTTGATGTCTTTGGACTTTTCTGCGGCTTGTCTTAGTGAGTTCTTTGGTAGCATCATCCTAGTCAGCCGTTGGCGATGCGCCCGTTATCTCATTCGCTGCCTTAAAACTTTCTGAAACACTGCCACAGCTTCTGAAGACACACCCGTCGTTACATTCCATAAACCACGAGTTTCTCAAGTCTTGGCATATTTTTTCAGAATTCAAAAATCTTGCATACTCTCAAGTCTCGAGTAACTCCTATTTACTTACTTATTTATGTTTATTTAACTTTATTTTATTCATAATTTACACGGTACTTTCAGCGATAAAGTTTCTGCTAAATTTATCTTTTAAAAGTAACACGGCTAGTGATATTTAGCCGTCAGGCATCAAAGATGTTGTTCTTTTGCGCTTAGCGATAAACTTTGTCGCCGTCGAAGATTACTATTCAAACTCGTTTCGTGAGAACACTGACGTGAAAGATAGTCCAGACCTATCCGGACTTAACTCAAGACTTACTAAATTACCCGGTTGTGATACATAATATAACTTTCAATTCAGTAAGCTACAGAGTTTTGTTTGCCGTGCATCCGTCCATTAACTTTTATATAGTTTTAACAAAATATATATACTTTTAGTATTTTTTTCTTACACTACTCATTGCACTGAAATATTTTTTTATAAGGATTGCATTGATAAAAAATTTTAATAACTGTTGATAAATTAATTTATTTAAAAATTTTATTAATTACAACTAACTATTTTTAATTTTTAATTATTAAATAATATTTTTTATTTCTAAAAACGTTAACAATATTTTAAAAAATCAATTTATTACTCCCTATAAAATTCTTCTATCTAATTTTGGAAAAAATACATGACAAATTTCACTGAAAATTCTATCATAGATCTATTAAAAACAAAAAATATAAAAAATTCATCGAGTTATTTTCTGTAGTACATCAAAGTTATATTTATCAAACAATAAACCATCACAATTCGAATAAATTCAATAAATAAATAAATAACAAAATTTATTCAAGTACTCATTTAAATTCAAAAGTCAATTGTAAATTCAATATCTGAGTTTACGTCGCGGACGAACAATCTTATTTTTCATACTGACTCTCGGCTGTGACAGCAGCGCATTCCAGTAGATTCTGTTAACGGATTGCATATCTGTAGCAGACCTTACGGTGTCACCGGGGTCTCTCGGGTCCTCTATCGTGTTTTCAACTTCAGTTATTATTTTACCTGGACAGCAAATTTCATAAATAAAACCGAGGAAGAAATAACCCAGTTCAACGAGACTAAGAAGACTGAAGCCGATGAATATTCCACATATTCCTCCGATATTGCCTAGAATGTATAATATCAAAAATGTGTATTCATATTTAAATTTATATTTACAATACACTGTTTTTATTATTATCATCAATACTTTTAACACTTCTAAAGAAAAAAAAAAAAAAAAAAAAAAAAAAAAAAAAATTATCCTAGCCAAGAATCGAACTCGGAACATTATGGTATCACTTAATGCCGTTTGACAGACGAAAAAAAATTTGTGAGTTTTGAAACAAGATCAACAATTATAATGTGATTGATGTAAATTTATCGGATCTAAAGTGGGTTGTTCAATAGAACACTTAAATTATTTAATTAATTACCATACAATATTAACTAAATGATTGTAATTGACTGAAATTAAAGGACTAAAATAATCAATCAAAAATACAATTGTAAACATTTATAATACCAACAGGGAGCTCAAATAACGTTGAATGATTACATATACTTCACTGTTGTCATTTGATAATACACAAGCTATTACGATTCCCGGTATAATTGGGTCAAAATATATCTATACATATATATGACCCGCGGGTATTGTTTAATGTTTCCAATATACCCCCTTTCATCTCTTTCTAACAACGTTCTCTCATTCGCACTCGGTAAATGTGTTTCATAGTGAAATTCCCGCGCTTAAATTACCATTGTCAATTGGAGCCTGTGATTTTATATCATAAAATACCGGATGTGCTTTCACTGAAGCACGATAACCACCGCCTATCATTCATATACCAATAACACTAATATTTGTTCTCTTGATTATTATTATTGTTGTTGTTGTTACACTCTAGGGTATTTCAATTTTGTAAAGTATTCGGCTGTGTCATTGAAAATTTATTTTTTTAATTGCTAGAAGGAGAATCTACGAGCGAATAATTTGAATTCATCTCAATAAAAATGAAAACAAGATAAATATGATAATGTTATTGTAAAGTGAACTTACTGAGTAGCTCGTACCAATAATAGCCCAAGTCCATTTTGAGCCGTACACTTCCGAAGTTTATAAAGTAAATATGAACAATACTTTGATCCTTAACTTCGAGATTGTCCCTAAAGTTTAGCGGAAAGCTTAATATATTATGTAGTCGATGGGTTCATCGATTAACGGATGGAGACGTGCTTCAAATGATGATAATACGCTTAAGAATATTACCTTGAAAGTTGGTGATACTTACAGTAATTCCGACTGATAATACCCTGTTTGAAGAGGCACGAAGTCAGTATAAACGTTATAAGACACGTCGTTACACGCCGGATAGCAACTGTTACAGTGCAGTAAGTTATCTCCGTCTCCTTCAACAGCTCTTTCAAAGTTTTCAACTTCTTCTGGATTTGTTACTTTGTGAGGTAATACTGACCACCATTTCACTGAATCAATATATAATTTATTATTTAGTATTTATAATAATGATAATAACTATTTTTATAATCAAAAAAATTTTTCTTTGGTGTATTAATATGATAATAGTATATTGTGCAACTAGTGCAACAACATTGTTCGGGTTGCACATACTATTTTTTATTACAAATGCGGCGCTATATGTGGGACACAAAATCAGGGTCCAGTGGCATAGCCCCGGCAAAGGGTTAAAAAATTGAAAAAAATTGAAAAAAATCTATTTCAAATAATAAATACGAAGTAATTAACAAAAAATAAATTTATTTGGAACAATCAACACATAAAATTAAATGACATTTAAATTTAGCTTTCACTTTACAATTTTTTAATTTCCTTTTAACAAACAAATTTGTTCCAAAAAAATATTTATAAAAAATTGCATTTTTTAGTTTTTTAAATTTCTACATGTCGATTTAAAAGGAAATTTTTTTTTGCTATAATTTATTTGTTACAAAAATTATAAAAATCATCAAATATCTGATAAATTAATTTTCATTAAAATTAAACAGCTTAATATTAATTTATTATTTTTACTTTCGTTAAAAATATGAACTTCGTAATGAAAAACTTACTTTTTTAATATTGACAGTAAGATTGTATTTTTTTTTTTTTGTTACTACTTTAATACTTTTCCCGCATGAGTAATAAAAAATGAATTTTTTTGTAAAATTTAGTATTATTAAAAGGACCTTAATTGTTTATGCCAAGTTTTTGGAGGAGTTTTGAATAATTCGTTGTTTAATAATAATAAAAATCTTATAAAAAATAATAAATTTTTTATAAGACTAAATCCAGAGCAATTAATGGAGTGGATTTAATGAGTAAAGAGTTCGATAAGTGCAAACAGATGATTATACTTGAATGGCGAACAGCAGTAGGATAAAAAAGTTTAAGTTAATGAGTGATGGAAAAGTCGATCGGTAATTCCTCACATTCATCGTTACCGCGTCGGGGCAAAGAGAAGGGTCTGCAGTTGCAGGTCTCCCAAATTGACAGCGCGACAGTCAACGATGCAATCACTGTAAGTGTAATTAGCCTGCAGTACTTTTTCCTCGTCGCTGAATATGCACTCCCGTTTCTCTTTAGGTACGCTTCTAACTGCTTCTGTGCTTGTGAATGATTTCACGGTTAGTTGGATGAAATTTTCCGTTGAAGGTGATATCAGTACCTCGGATACACCACCACTGGTATTGTCGGGGTAATCACCAGAATTAAATATTGCTATCTGTAAAAACGATTTTTTTTTTTTTTTCAATTAATTATTGTATCATTTTTATATTATTAAAATGCTTAGATAATTATTCATTAGAAACTTCTAATGATTTATACAACACTTAATTGAAGAAATTAGTTGTATAGAAATAATCATTGTTTGTCATGTATTAAAAAAAAAAAATTACTGTCAATAATGTAAAAAAAAAAAAACTCGTACTTTGTAAATAAAAATTTTATGTAAAAAAAAAAATAAAAATGAACATCAAATGGTGAACACAAATATTTATTTTTTATGATGGAATTTTTTTTTTTTAATTTAAGCTATTAGCAAAATATAACCCGATTTTCAGTTATATTTATATCGATAAATATATATTATAATCTGTTTAAAAATTTGGTTTAAATATTGACTATTTTTATGTTATTATCAAGTGAAGGATAAATTAATTAAAAACAATTTATGAATAAGCAAAGATAAATTGATTTTTTAAATAATACACTGTGAATATTTGATGATAGCAAGCAATTTATTGTTATAGTAATGTGTCATCGCTATTTTTTTCACATTTACTTAATATTCTTCCCTTAATTAACGGTATTACTGGTAAAGATAATTAGTTCAGTCATCACGCATCGAATAATTATTATGAAACAGAGATCGATTAAAGAATACGATAAACCGCATCGAAAATATATCAGTTGACGATAGTCGTGTTAGAAATGTGGAAGCCAACAAATTTAATGGAGGCTTTGCTTCCAATATTTGTCCTTGAATGCGTATTTTGTCACGGAGTTATGCCGTATAAAAGTGCTAAAAAATTAAAAATTAATCCTTCTCTCTTATATTCAATTATTTCTTTGATTTTATACGTTTCTTCTCTAATTATTATTACTATATTGAAGTTAGTGACTGTACAAGGATTAAATAGATTTGATATCTCAGTTCAAATTACGCGTGGAATGTATACCACAATAATGATTCTTAATATCATTATTAGTTGGACTTTTAGAAACGTGAGTACAACAATCACCCTTATCTAATAAAATTTAATTATCTGTGATTGAGAGTTTTTTTTTGTTTTAGAAAGCTATAAAACTTCTTACGCATATTTTAAGAGCCGATGAAACACTTAAAAGTTTGGGAATCGCAATAAATATTCAGGGGGAATTTTGTTTTGCTTTAAAAGTAGCTATTTTTTGGATTATTTATAGTGTGGTTATATGCCCAGTTGTGACGCTCTACAATTTCAAAAACCTTATTGACCTAATAACTAAAACAGCTGTGATAGTTGTTGTATACCATGGATATTTCGTAAGTTTGTTAATTGATCTACGATTTTTTCTGCTGATCAAGCACATGAGATTGCGTTTTAAAAATATAAATAAAGTACTGGAAAATTTTCTACGATCACATACCAAAAAGATGCCGCAAGAAGGAACAAATGATAGATGGGCAACTTCTGTTAGAAAAAATTTGGGGTTAAAATTTCTTTGTAACGTCAGGTAAAGACCTAATAAAATAGTTGTTTCACTTTGTTTTTAAAAATTTCTTTAATCAAAAATGATATTTCTTTCATTATAGACGCGTACATTTAGAATTGGGAAAACTGTGCCGTATAACAACAACAGTTTACGGTACTCCACTTGCTTTCACAACGATTGGATTCTTTGTTAACATTATTGGTTCATTATACTGCCAATATTTAGGATTGATAAAAGAAAATTCTAATATTTATGAAATAATGCTCTCCATTGTAATAACTCTGATTTGGATAGTACCTTTCTGTTTAAGCTTCGTCAGTGTTAATTATATATGTAAGGAGACCGTAAATGAGGTAAAATATTATCTATCTATGTAACATTTATTGTGAAAAGAATAATGATAGCACTTATGTTTCATTCCAGTGGAAGCAAACTGGAGTAATACTTGATGAATTGGAGCTCGAGTCCAAAAATACTGAAATTCAGACAGAAATACGCAACTTTTCGGCTCAAGTACAAAGAAACACTTTAAAGTTTTCACCATGTGGATTTTTTGATCTCGACTTTTACTTCGTTAGAGATGTAAGTTTAATATTAAGTTATATTTTTTCTAATTTTAAAAGCAATTATTCCTAATAATAATAATAAAATATTCTTTTTCAGTTTACTGCAGCGGTGGCTACGTACTTAGTTATAATGGTCCAAATTTACCCAAATGAAAACTGAGCACCCGCAAAAATCGTCAAAATAGGCAATCGCTTATATAATGAGTGACTTTACACGTTTTTTCAGTGAACTAAACATAATTAATCATTAATTAAAAATCAATTAGTATTTCACTTGTTTTCTCTAAAATAATATTAATTTAAATTCAGTACACATTTTTTATTTTTATGGTTTTTATGGTTTTTAATAATTTGAAATGTTTGTAAGCAAAATAAATAAAAAAATAATTATTATAAATCGATGGTCTAATTAGCAATTTGTCTAACTTATTTTTTAGAGGGCGATTTTTTTAACATTTTCATGTAGCAATAATTCAATTATAAATTATTTGATTGATTCAAACCTAAATATTAAATCTCTATTAGATATTAATGATATTAAACGATTTTTTAAGGTGATAATAAATTTTGAACTAATTATTTTTTCGTACAAATAGAAGATTCTATAAAATGGAGCTAGACTATTTGCTAATTAGAACGTCGAAATGCTTAAATAATGTTTCTTTTTATGTCGCTTTATTAGTCTATCAGTAAAATATTACCCGAATTTTATTTAGTAAGAAGGGTACAGTTCGCGGTCAAATAACAGATTTTGAGAAGATAAAAAAAAATTCTTCGATCGTAAAGCACTCTCTGATGCTTCGCATCATAAGTCGTGCAAAATAAAATTATTATTATTAATTTAAGGAGTTTTTTTCAATTACCTTCCAACCGATCATTTCAAAAAATGTAAAAAAATAATCATCAAGCTCTGGTTCTCGCACAATTGACAGCCCATTGTTAATTCCTGAATTTCCTATCTTAAGGGGCCTCAACGGTTTATGTTTTTTAAATTCCTTGTCTCTATAATAAATTATCAACCATAAATTTAATGCTTATAATTCAATAAAAAGGAAAAAAAAAACAAACTAATTAAAAACGTACGTGGTAATTTCATCAGGCTCACGTACGTAATTGAATATACACACGGTGAGAAATTTCTGTAGAAATTTACTATGCATACATAATAAGACTGAACCTTAATGACTCAATTCAAAATATTACCATAAAAATTTAAGAAAATCATATTGTACCAATCAATATTTACTAGGGACCATAGTAAATTTGACCATGTAACTGTTACATAAACATATATAAAAAATTTTCGCAAACTGACTGAACAAAAACTGTGAGTGTGCTTAAAACTTTTCATTATAGTTCCATAGTAAAATTTCTGTTGCTCAGTCGACAATAAAAATTTATAAAAAAATTTGACATTTAGTCACGTGTACTCGGTTTAAATTTAAAATTTTGACTATGAAATTTTCAAATGTCCCATAGTAAACGTATGCGTGTCAGTCGCGACGCGCGCTCTTTCATTTTTTCGTGCTGCTTTGTTTTGTCAACATAAGTGTACAGACGCTATCAGCAGTGGTTAACGGTGTTATGAAAATTGCAATAAACATTAAGTTTTAAATAAATATTAGTTTATAAATCCATCAACATATGAATAGTTAATAAAAATTTGTAAGATTCCTAAATAATAAAATATTTAATAATTTACCGTGAAAAATTAAGATGAAAACAAACATTTGATGGTTAACCTGCAACCGACACTTTTCCAATAATATATTATTATTATAATAAAAAATAATTTAAAAGTTATATATTGTGTTTATAATTATTTATAATATAATTAACTGCCAAAATAAATCCTTCGTTCAAATTAAAAATAGAAAACAAATAAAAAAAACTATATTTTAAAAAATATTTTTAAAAATTATTACAAACAAAAAAAAATCTTGTTTGGTTTGATATTTTTTTTGATTGCTAAAAATATTTTTTACTCTAAAATTTTTTATTTTTTACAAACATTTTCTTATTTTTTTTGCTATAGTACATTCGGAAATTTAAATTATTGCATATTTCATTTTACTATGGTACATTTCAATTTCTACCGTTTGCTATGTCTGATTTCATTTGTTTCGGAAATTACTATGGGCCATTGTAAAATTTTATTCTGAGTCAATAAGGTTCACTAGTAATATGCACCATTGTAAAATTTAAAATCCATGCAGAATAAAAAATAATAGAAATTTCTCACCGTGCAGCAGTATCCATGCTGGTTTTTACGAAACTTGAATAAATCCGAGCAATTAACAAGTTTATTCCGAAAGTAACAGGACTGTATTCCCTCTGTACAACTTGGAGATAGCTTAACCAACATTTAATGCAGTTATGTAATAATTAATAATATAATATTGTCTAGAATTTTGAAACCTTAATGTTGATGCAATATATTATAGACTCACTCGCTTCATTAACGGTGTAACATCGTAATCATCCTCACAATAAAACTTACGCAGCACTTCATCAATCAACAAATCCATTTTCTCGTCGGTTTCCGTTCGATCGTATCCAGTTTCATAGAGACTGCCTAGTGCAAAGATCATTTCCTTTACTTCGATTAATGAAGCATTCGTTGCTTCAGCGTCGATACTAAATTTTATAAATAAAATTAATTATCTTCAATGAAAAATTTATCGAATTTTTTTAATTTAAAAAGAAATTCATTAAAAGTTTAATTAAATCCAAGCTAAAGACTAATTAAAAATTGTTTAAGGTAATTTTTTTTAAAATAAAAAACTTTTAATTTTAACAAACAAAAATTTTGTAAATTAAAATGATTTTAAACATACAATTGCATATTAAATTAAAACAATAATTAAAATAATTTATGCTTAATTAAATAATTTTTTTAAACAATTGTTTAGTTTGACGATCAACTGATTTTTTTACTTTAAACATTATTTTTTTTAAATAATCTACTTCATTTAAATTTATGAAAATTGATATAAAATTTTTTAATTATTTTTAAAGATTTAAATGTTAAAAAAATTATTCATAATATATATTTAAAATAATCTATCAAAAATGACATTTTTTATTATTTAAATTTTGCTATAAATTTTTTTTGATCGAAAAATTGATATAAAAAAAATTATTTTGTTTATTTTTATTCCATTTTTTACGAATTAAAAAAAATATGGGATTAAAGAAAAATTTTAAATTTTATTTTTACGAGTTGAAATATTGTGAACCTAAAACAAAATAATAATAAACCTACTCACAGTTCTTGAGCGAAAATTTCTACACCTTTCCTGCTCATCCGATTAATATTACAAATAGAAATACCTAAAATAAAAAAAAAAAAAAAAAAAAAAAAAAAAAAGTAGGCTCCAAAAATCAATTAATTTTATTCACGTCCAAAAATTTACAAACAAAAGGTTTAATTATACGTTACAAAATAATGTTTACCTGGTAAATCGAGCTCGTTGGACGGGTAATGGTCCGAATCTACCAGAGTCACCACCGGCGTATCGATATACTGTTTCCAAAGACTGAATATAGTTACACTCAGCGTGCACAAAGTTACCGTATGAATTATTATCCAGAAAACTCTGCCCAGGACAATAACCAATATCCATAAATCATTCCCCGTTATCCATCAATTACAATAGTGTAAATATATCAACCAATTAATTAATTTGTTCATCCATTCATTCATTCATCCATTACACGACAAATTAATTCATCAATTATTTTAGAAAAAAAAAACCTTTCCATCCAATTTCAAGCGAAATTGATTTCGACGATCTAATTAGCAATTGATCTAAATTCTTATTTTTTAAGAGGTGATTTTTTAATATTGAATTATTTGAATGATCCAAACTAAAATGTTATACCTCTATTAGATATTAAATTGTTTTTTAAAGTTATTTATTTCTTTACATAAAGACCCAACAGCAATAGCCAATAACAGGGTCACTAGAGAATAACTTTAAAGTCCTTTTACAAGATTATATTATATATAAAAGAAAAGGTCCCGTGTAAAAAAAAATCGTCTTAAAATTGTCTTAAAATTGTCGTTCGCTTAAAATCTTAAACGTGACACAAACTAAGACTATTTTAAGACTCTTTTAAGACGCCGAAAGAAAAATTCCGAGAGGAGATTTTTGAAAATTTTGTTCTCGAATTTGTTGTGAAAATTAATTTTTAGATGATTTTACGACTTTTTAACCGCAATATTTTTGAGTAAGATGTTTTTAAATTGAATTTAAAATTGTTAAAAAATTATTATCTGACAATTTTAAGACTTTTTTAAGACGTTCCGTTTTAATGTTCCGGGGCTCTGTCGCTGTTAACCCATCTTAAAATAGTCTAAATTTTTTGTTAAAATTTTTTTAAGACTAATTTAAGATAATTTTGAGACAATTTAAAGACGCTCCATAATAATTTTCCGGAGCTACCACTGTGATGTTATCTGAAAATAGCCTAAAAATTTTTTAATATTTTTTTTTTCAGATTTCTTTAAGACTATTTTAAGATTTTTCAAGACTATATAAAAATTATTTTAAAACTTAAATCTTAAAATAGTCTTAGAAAAATCTTAAAATCGTCTTGAAAAAATCTTAAAATAGTCTTAAAAAAATCAAAATAATTATTAAAAAATCTCGGAATTTTTTTTTTTTTTGGCATCTTAAAAGAATCTTAAAATAGTCTTAGTTTGTGTCACGTTTAAGATCTTAAACGAACGACAATTTTAAGACAATTTTAAGACGATTTTTTTTACACGGGGTATAAACAATAATGTTTTAATGCACTTGCATTTTGAGAAAATGAAAAGAAAAGAAAAAAAAAGTAAGAGAAGAAAAACAGAAAAATTAGTGTATTTTAAACATTTGTATAAATTTGAAAACTTAGCCAAAAAAATTTTAATTGGTAATGATACATTATTTATTGTTCCAAGTTTTGATTCAAGGCCACAAGTGTTGTAATAATAAACTAAGAAGTGTTTAATAAATAATTTAATAGAGTTATTTTATCCCAGGAGCTTTATGAAATTGTTTCAGCCTCAGAGGATGTTTGACGATGACTGATAATAAAAATTTTAAACTAATTGTTCTTTTGTACAAATGGAAGGTTCTTTGAAATGAACTTACTCAATATTATTTAAAAATTAAATCATAAAATTGTTATGTAAGAAATTAAAAAAGCTAAACTTGCAACATTTTTAAAAATTTTGTGCAAAAAACAAATTATTTCAATAAAAAAATTAATTTATTAATAAAGTTACTTACAGTTTCCACGAAAATTGCCGACAATAAAAAAAAGTAAGAAAATAATACAGGGTACTCATAATAGTATCAATTTTAATGTAAAAACAAAATTTGTATTATAGACAAATTATAATATGGACAATTTGCTAATTAGAACGTCGATTTGTATTCATTGTAATTATTTTATTTACCTTTCGCGAACTGGGCGTCCCGGCTCTATCAAATATTTGTAGCCAACCAGACTCGTATTGTCGCAGAAAAGCTTAACGTGCTTCTTGAGAATTATTATAAATTTTCCCCAAACTGTGGTGGCTCGTTTTGGTTTTGCTGACGACACCCAACGATTCTGAGGCCGACGGAAATTTTTTTTATCTACTCTGATACTTATTGTCTCCATTTTATTTATTAGTCTTTATTGGTAGGCTATTTTGAAGCTACTGAGCGGCAATGACTGGAAAATGTCTGCAATAATAATAAAATAAATAATTAATATAATTGATAGAACGACAATCATCGATTGATAGAAGAGCGGGCTTTTTTTAACATTGACTGCAAGATAATCTGTGATTTGATTTACGTCTGACCTAAAAGCGGCTGCTTCACTTGCATTATCACACGCATCATCTTTTTTACAGCTTTTAACCGTGTATATATAATAAGTACACATGTTCGGAAGGTTACAGTGCAGAGATAAAAATTAATCCGTCATGAATTGTTGATAGATGGATGGTAACCTTGTGGTTTACAATAATTAATAAATAATGAATACGGGAACGTGGCAGATGTTGAATTAGTTTTATCGTTAATTGTTAACTCGTTATTATTGTTACTGTACGCCGGGTATGTGGTTATAATGTACATGCCATTTAAGCGTGATAATTACATTCGAGTAAAATATCCGTATTTGAGGCTTTAATAAATTATTTTATTTTTCAAATTATACGCGTACATCGATTCCTCTAATTAATATTATAATAAATTAATTGATAAATTTCATGATACTTAATTATAATTAAAATAAAGTGTTTTCTCTCATTATCGGTCAGCAAAAAAAAAAATAATTTTTTAGAAGCGATTAATTAATTACGTTTAATAAATTAAAAAAAATATTTATTTTCAATGATTAAGCTATCTCTTACTTGTTCATTTACTTTCTGTAGTTAATTTTTAATCTTAAATATTTTTCAATATTTTATTATTAATATCATAGTAATTATTAATATAAGTGCAATTAAGAAATGTTAAAAACGTGAAGTTTGCAATTTTTTTGTGCAATTTTATAAGTGCAATATTTTTTATAATTAAATTTTTTTTTAAGTTTTTAATAATGAAAAAAAAATTTTTTTTCACTTTTGTGTATTTATTTTTTTTTTCTTTTATTAAAAATTATATAGTAAAATATTCCATTGTTGAATTAATAATCATTAGGAGAATAAACGGCAATATTTAAAAATCATTACAGAGGATTACATAAAAATTGTGAATAAAACAATTATGCTTTGTATTTTTTATATAAAATGTTTCACTGATTGGCTCGTTGTCCGATAGTTCAAGTGAAAAGTTAAATTCATTAGCGAGGATTTAAAAAAAAAAATAGTATTATGGAAAATAAATTGCAGATTCTGTCTCGTTAACGAAATTCAACAGTTTGACTTAATTACCTCAGAAAAAAAATTCATTGTTGATTTTTGTTTTATTTATAAATTTTCAAATTGTATTAAATGAAAACTATAAAATAAAGGAATTTAGCTTGACTTAAAGCTTTGTAACGTTCAAATTTTTGCATTATTACGCTCTCAATAATTTAAAATCTCCCATAAAAATTTCTGCCTTACGAGTGGAACGCGGAAAATCCCTCACGGAAAATCCCGGAGGCATCCCTCAGGAGTGAATTTCTTAACCCAGAGAATTTATAGAGAAAATTAAGAAATAAATTCAAAGAACATTATCATTATTCTGATAATAAATATAAAACACTCGGGGCAATATTAAGTGTTATTGCAAACAGAGCATTAAATAAAATACGGGGAAAAAAATTTACGTATAAAAATGATAAAAATGAGGGGATAAAAAAAAATCACGGTATTTAATATTGATAAGACAATTTGGTGGATTTTACGAGGCTATAACTAGAACGCACTCAAACATATGCGATATTTCCATAACAAAGTTCAAGCATAACTCTTGGGAAATCCACAGTAGTAACATTTACTTCCACATATAAGTAATAAACTCGCTGGCTAAACCATAAACTTCCAAGTGCCAGTCGAGTCGAGTTTTGACGACAAAATTGCTCGGTGAAACACCCTGCAACATGTTGCAGTCTCCCTTTGCTTCGATTTCTTTTTAGTTATTTTTATTTTCCATAAATCGGCACAAATTTATTGAAAAATCAAAATTAAAAAATATTTTTGCTTTTTAAATTATTTATATAATTAAAAGAATAAAAAAATTTTTGTCTTTATTAAATTAAGTGTAATTGGAATTATTAAATTATCTTACGAAATTTTTTAATTAATTTAATTATTTTCGGACATTTAAATGTAGTTATAAGTCAAAATTATTTATCTATAACAATAAAAAAATATAGAAAATTTTGTAACCGGAAAATCTTTATTAAAATTGGGTTTTTATAGTAAAATTTGGTACGTTAAAAAAAGGCTGTGAGAGTAATTTGTCTTTTCACGGTTTGATATTTTTTCAGCGACAATAAATTTATCATCTCAATAATTAAGAAAATTAAATAACTAAAAGCAAAACTGTAAATATTGAAATTAAAAAAATAAAATAAATATATCTGTCAAAATTGAGCTGTAAAAAAAAATTTGATTTACAAGAGACATCAGCATATATTTGCCCATTTATACATGCATCGTCACTGTATGGATATACGTATCTACGTATGTATTTGCATGTAGATAAATAGTACAGTGACCTGGTATAAGTGACGAGATCGCACTACGCAGCGTCCGATTTTCCGATGGCTTCGGATTTATATTCAGCAAAATATACGATTTATTGCTGGCTATCATGTAGTAAAAAGAAAAATTAAAAGTTATCCAGCAGAAGAATAAAAAATATAACTACCGGGTAAAAAATATCAATAAAATAAAAAACAGAAAACCCCGAGTGAAATAAAAGGTTGAATTAAATAAAAAATACGGGAACAATAAAACTCGGGCACGCGACGATCCTCAGTAGTATTGTACGTATTGTGCGGGATACGATCCCATTTAATTTATTTTCTGGTTACCTATAGAAATTTTTATTTACTATTATTATTGTTATTGTTATTATTATTATTAGTATTATTATTTGCAAGTACAGATGCGTATGGCTTCGTATTGTTGGTATTTTGACTATGTATT